GTGTGGGCTAGTGGGTCTGGCAGTTGACCATCAACGCAGACTGCAGGCTCTCAGCACCTATGTTCTTGTTACTAAAAGTTCCCCATTGCTTTGATAATTGGTGCAAATGTGCAACTTCATTTATATTGCCACTTGTAGAAGAGCATTTTCTAGGCCTCTGTGTCTACTTGACCGCTGAGAAATGCAGCATTGGCTGATAAGATGGTTATTTTCTAGTGGAAACATGCCGTCCACATCTAATCTGGTTATGCCTGAGCAAAAACCTTTCAAAAGCCTCTGCAGATGGATTGCAGGGGTTCTGCTATACCCTGTGTTTGTGTGACAGTGAGTGCTTGTGCATGGCAGGTATAGAATAAACCATATTCCAACCTAGATGAGGGCAGAGATCCCAGTGAGCTATCTTCTCCCAGGCATGGTGAGGTCTTGTGTCTTGTGACTGGTATATCATCCCCTGGCTTTTTCTTTCCCTCATGCCCTTCTTCCTCTCCATTTCTGGTGTTATCAGAGTTTGAACGAGCAATAATACCCATTTACCACATGTTCTCTCTCCAGTCTTACACCTTTCTGCAGCAGAGTATTGCATACCAAGACTTTATTCAGCTTTATGTTGCACATAGCTGACCTTTGCAATCTCCCTGTCCCCTTCCCATCAGACTTAGAAGTCTTCCAGAGCAATGCTGCTTGTACTCCTAAATCCAGTAGTGTCACATAGGTACAGAAGAGGCAGCATCCATCAGGATGCAGTGGCAATACCCCTCATTTTCCTTAGTATATTAGAAATGTTGTTATTCTGGGAGACTCAACCTGCTTCTCGCTGTTTGTATCTTCTGTTGAGGTGTGCTTCTTCGCTCAGGCTCTGAGTTTCCATATTTTATTTTAACATATGTTGTGATTCGTGTTGGTAAATCTGAGAACAGGAGATAGAAAACTGAACAGAGACAAAAATAGTTTACAACTGACTGTCCCTATTACCCTTCAGTATTCTGCAAACGGACAGGATGAGGGATTACAGCTGGATTGTCTTGTCCCTGTAGCTATTAGGTGAGCCTTGCCATTTTTATCCCTTCCTCATAACCTGCCATCTCTGGTCTGTTATGTCTGTTCCCGTTTATTCCTGGAGTGATGTCTCTAGAGGGGATATTTCTGCCTCTCTCCCTGGATGAGTACTGTACAAGACACTGGCTTGAAAGCCCTGGCCCATCTAAATTCTTACTACTTTTAAAATAGTCTCCTCTAAAGCCTTTAGTGATGTCCTTTACAGTTACACATTTTGAAAACACTCCAAAATTGCTTAAAAATGCTGTGGCCCTCATAGACTTGCTCTTCAGTCATGTTTTCCTGTCTGCCTCTCTGTGTTGCTTGTTTCTTTATGCTTATACTATAAGCTGTTTTTGGCAGCCTTTGGCAGCATGAATGCTGATCTGTGACTGAGGCTCCAGGTGCACAGCGATACCAACAAATAATAAAGGAGGGAACTTCACACAGGGAAACATGATTTCCAGCCTGGACCCTATGATTTCCACCTCGATGCCTTGGAGGTGATGAGGTACTGTGGGAACATGGCCTAAGCAGTCTTCAGACTCATGTCCTGACTTATTATCGTTATGATAATCAGGAAGGGAGATACTGCATCCTCAGAGAGCCACCCTTAAGCACTGCAGGCTTCGTCACTGTAGCGGGGAACAGAGGATGCCCCCAACCTCAGACTGCAAGTCTGAGTTCCCGAATCTGGCAGGAGAAGCGTGCCTTCCCTCCCGCTGCCTGCTGCTCCTCAGGTGGCTGCCTATCTCCTCCCAGCCTAGATAGGGACAGCGTTCCCCAGCGGGAAGTAATTGCTTTGGAAACCTCGCTGAACATCTTCCCAACCAGCCACACCAGGCGTAGCGGCGGCTGAGCGTCAGTGGTAGCACAGATCCTTGGAAGGGGCTGCGCTCCCGACGCCGGGGCTCCCGAGGGGGTTGCGTCAGGGGAGCAGCCTTCCCTGGGCTTGCAGTTGTCGTGGTGCTGCATTTTGTAGCTTGCCAGTGACAAGCTGCGGAACAAAACCACAAGGCTTGAGATGTAGCTCAAAATTGCAGGGTTTGTAGAGCCAAACCACAAGGCTGAGAATTTCAGTAATTATAAGCCAGGAAAACAGTTTTTAGTTCTTTAGCCCTACACAGGGCTTTGCCTACTGTATAGGTGGAAGTATGAGAGCTGTCTGCTGATACTCCGCATTTTTCCCTGCAATTCTTTTAGAAACTACAGAGGGAAAACACACCAAAATAAAAGATTACCCGAGGTGTCCCTCAATAATAATCTCAGGGGAAGGGCACAGAAAGGTTACAGGGAAGAACTCAGAGCAAATAGAAATGAGACAGAAGGGAGAAGCCAGAGGAATTTCAGAGCAGTGCGATAGCTGAGGAAAATGCTTAGGGAAATAGTCTGGATAAATGGCAGGAGAAACAGCCACACAGAAGGGACCAAAGCAGACAGGTTGTGTTCCCAGCTAGTGATAGAGTCCACATTTATTTTGCAGTGGCATTGAACTCACTGAGAGGAGCCCAGGTACAGTCCTAGTGGTTCACGCGGTGCTGGGAAAACGGGCAACTGTGATTTGTGAAGTTACCTCCTTCTGAACAGCTCAAGCAACAGCAAAGAATAAAAATCTCAAATGTTTGTAATCTTTCTTCTTTTTCTCTTCTCTTTAATGTTTTGTGTGTAATGTAAAAGCCATATAAAACCTACTTAAATCCCAGAACTTACGTAGAATCTCCTATGGAGTGTGAGTCCAAACAAAAGGTGGCTTTTGTCCTCTTTAAATAGCTTGCAGACCTTTGGTTTGAATTGTTTGCAAAATTTAGGCAATGCCATATTTAGAGTTGTACGTGAAATCGTAATTGAACTTATAAATTTATTTTAGTTTCAAGGTCACACACTATTTTTCCAGGGTGTGCCTGCTTAAAGCCATGATAAGATGGTTTCACTGAATGAGTAACTGTTCAAGATTTTTGTTTATTGTCTTCATTTCTGTGAGACCTGGAGCGTGCTTAATGCAAGTGGGATCTGTGAAATTTTTTTTTATTTAATTTTTTTTTCCCCCTCCTTCTCTGGAACTGAAAGACCTCTGCTTTACATGTGCCTTTAGGAAATTCCAAAGGTTTAATATTTATCCAATTTTTAATAAATTTTCACAAGGAGGCAGAATTCAGCTGACATACCAAATCCCTCAGATCTCTTGGTCAAATGGATGTTGGACTTTATTAACATTTATAAAGTTGATATTTTTTTTTCAAATTTTTTTTTTTAGATGGTGGGATAACTCAGTGGCTGAAAATGTCGTATTATAATGGAAAGTATTAGACTGCTTTGATGCCAGGCATTCTTTCTAATTCAACTATGATGAAAGAACATGAATGTTAATTAGGATTTTTTTTTTTTCTTCCATTTAGAGAGCACTTTGCCATAGTCGAAATGCAAACTTAAACTCACAGGATCCTTGCCTTGGTCAGCAAAAGCGTTACTATGTTTGAGCAGCTTTGAGAGGGCGCATGGGATCAAAACATGATAGCAATGGCATTTGGCTGTTGGCTTGGATAACAGTGTGTACCCTTATCAAGTTTGCTGTGTTAATGCCTTTCGTAGCAAGAACCATCTAGCAAAGTTTCATTCTTCAGGATCTGAAATTCAGCAGCTAAAGATAACCATGGAATTGTTCCATAAAGAAGCCTCTGTAAGGTGTTTAGCACCACGAGGCGTGAGAGTTCACAGGAGCCGTGAGCAGTACACGTAGCATGTGAAATGCAGCAGGCGCCAGCTGTGACAGAATTACCATCGATAATTACAGGGGTAATCACTACTGGGCAGAAGAGGCTCCTGAGGATTTTGCAGGGGATCATCAACATTTTTGGCAGTGCCCTGAAAGCAACTGTGAAGTCACTGTTAATCTGCAAGCAACCCAAAACTGGTGTAAATAATGACTTCCAAAGGTAGAGTGGAATGTCTGCCTCTGTTGCTTGTCATGGAGAATGCAGGGAAGATGGCTCAATGCTGTGAGAAGGAGGCATTCAATCAGATTACCCTGCCAGAGCTGTTGGTTAGCAGATTAAAATTCCTGCCATCCTCCCTGTGCCTTTCTCTGAATTTTTAACCCAAACAGAAGTGAAACGTTAGAACGTAATTGGTCTGTAAGTCCTGTGAACATGGAGCCTCCGGTTACTTTGAGGGCAGTACATGCTATACCCACTAACATCTGGACCAGCAGGAGCCATGATATATAGTAATGTGACAGGGAGGCACGAGCCCCTCTCTAGGCAGGGCTGTCCAGCAAGGCAGCGGTATTCAAGACTGGTGTTCTGCCATGTTTGCAGGGTGAAGACTTTAATTAAAAAAAAATCCATTGGGTAAACATAAAGGACATACATACTTGTTTTTTCCCTGAGTCCAAGAACATGCATGACTCTTCTACAAGACAAGATGGCACCTTTATAAGCTTACAGCTTAATTCACATAAAACCTGACGGAGGAGGATAAACCTGAGATAAAGCGGGAAGCGTGTAGCTCACACTGAAAGTAAAGCTGTACGGTCATTTTTAGCTCTTTGAATGTTCTTAAAAGCATTTGCTATCCAAGGGTACATCCCCTTGCAGACTGGTGGGAGTGATCACGGCGTGTGCTGGAATGCTTAAACCATTAACCAAAGTAGCTAAAGTGCCAATAAGAGTGAAAAGATGGGACCAGGGAGGGGGTCATTCATGCTGAAGCCCAAGCTTCTCTGTCTTCCTCACACTTGTCATCCAGACTGCCTCAAGTGCATCTGCGTACACTGCTCTCACCCCTCCAGGATGCACTCCCTCACTACAGCCTTTTACTAGTGCCTTGTGGCAGTGAGCAGGGACAGCGGGAACTGCTGCCAGCAGTGCATATTTTTTTTTTTTAAAAGAATAATAGTGGTCTGTTATCTTTTGTATGTAATTGTGTTTGTTGTTTTATCTTTTTTTTTTTCTTTTTTTTGTTACCAGAGCGCCTCTGATGGCTTTTGGAAGTCAGTGGCAACCCGTGTCCCAAGAGAACCTCATGAGATACGTATCCTGAATCCCTACTTCATCCAGGAGGCAGCTTTCAGCTTCATCGGACTGCCTTTCAACAATGGCCTGATGGGCAGAGGGGTAGGTATAAAGCAAAGCAAGCAAAACCACAGGGAAAGATGGGAGACCAAGCAGCAGAGTAGGCTTACACTGTTCTTACTTTTCCTTTGGGCTTCTGCTGTTGGACATTGAAGGGAAGGGACTTTGGCTCTGTTATGGTGGCAGTGCTCAGCCTCCTTCAGGCCAAGGCAAGAACTTTCCTTGGAACACGCTGATGATTTTGTGGGGGATCATCGACATTTCAGTATGCCTTGAAAGCAACTGTAAAGTTAAATTCTAGGCTTGTAGTAGAAGAGGGTAAAGGTTTGTTTTATGAGGCCTTTGGTAAGAAATTCTCATCTTACAGCGGCAAATTTTAGATGTAAAAACTTACAAAAGAAAACAATGCAAACCACAAGTTTAGGTCATAGTTATTAACAAAATACCTCCACAGTCATTCTCATATCTCATATCTCTCACTTGCAGTGCAGATTTTGAAGTGTTACTGTACAGTAGGTGGTGAGTTAGGTTTTCTGGATTATCTCACACTGCAACGCTGTCCTCAGAACCAATTTATATTTGCTCTATATCAGCCATTAGAGAAAGTATTACTTGGGTGGGTAAATTACTCATGTACACATGTGGTATAGTTGTTGACAGAGACCACACGTGACATTTTTGGGCATATTAGTACAGCTGACAAACCCAGAGACAGGCACTTTTGCTGGACAAGGTCTGCTTGCTCTGCCCCTGGCATTGTCCTTCCATTGTTACTGGTACAGGAGATTTGCCATGGATTTGGACTAGGCAGAATAGTGCCTCATTTCCCATGCTCTAATTATATTGCAAAATTTTCAGAAATATTAAAGACTTTCGTTTTGTGCAGGTCAGATGGGTGGGTGCCTGGAGGTAAGAAATTAATTTCCTAAAATGCGATGTACAAGATGGGCAGACAGATTCAACCACATAGAATGGGTCTTTTGTGAAATGCATTGCTGCATATGTATGTACCGAAGCTGTCATGGGGTTCTGGAAGCACTGGATTTTTGCTCTGTGCACTGCATGTGCTTTATCCCAAATATTCCTGTCGACTAAGAAGCGACTTACTTCACCTCTCTGCTTTCTCCAGAACTTACCCTTAGAATGACATGGTCTTGATTTGTCTTCCAGAAGATCAGGACTGCTGCCCCAGTAAAGGACAGAAGTCATCAGACTTTCACCTTTATTTTCTCCAGATTTGTTTTTATTTTTATTTTTAAACACGTTATTTTAATACACAAGATATTACTTAAGCTGAGAGGAGAAGAGAGAATCCGGAAATGAAAATGCTGTGAACTGAAGTTTATGAGGTTTTGATAGGTTGTTTAACACACATCAGATTGGGAAATGAAGGCATCTTAATTGAAACCTGATGTTTCACTTCATGAAAGTCAATTTCAACATTTAAAAATAGTTTATGGAGCTTTAAGGCAAGCAATCTTTCCCCGTGACCCCTGCTAGATTGTGTAAATTGTAGTTCATTCCTTCAGATGGGGGTAACAGGAGCTCTGCAGGTGCATCTGTGGGGCTGGGGCATTAGTATACCCTGTGCTGTCTGTGCAAGGACACTCTGATTGATTCTGTCAGAGTTTAAAAACAGAGAGAGAATATTTCTAGCCTGTGGGTACAAATTTTACTGCAGACGTCAACTATGGACTGCTGTCACGGAGCTGCTGGGACTTCACGTTTTAGTGAATGCTGCTGCATCAGTGCAAAGGCTCCAACAGAAGCTACTGATGGCAGCATAAAGAGGGAAGAAGAGTCTGCGTAGGATCCTGGTGATACAAATTCACTACAGACCTTTTTTCTCTCAGAGTTTAAATGGGAAGAGTAGAAATCAGAGCCTGTAGACCAAGAATCCAACTCTCATTAGATTTAAGAGAGATCCAGCAAGATAAGCGAGACAGCTAGAGCAAGGAGAATTGCTTCACAAAAGACAGTGTGACCCAGCAGCCGCAGAGCATAGCTGGTTGGGTTCAGGGTCATGCTTTAGAGATGTGAGACAGCCTGGAAAACTTTACTCAAGAATGAAGCATATGAACATGGAAAAGGAAAATGTGAGGTCTAGTAAGCAAAAGCACAGCAAACAGTATGTGTGCTGAGTTTCTCCTGGGGAACTGGGATGGGGGCAGAGCGGTGCCCCCGTGCTGCAGTGTGCAGTGTGGTATGTTGGGCAGGCTACACGCAGGAGGATCAAGGCTGGGGATGCCTTAGTAATCAAGGCCAACACGAAATCCTCAAAAAGAGCAGTAATATTCCACTTTTCTTTGGTTCTGATGCCTAAATAAACCTCAGTGCTTCTCTTACACACCACATATGGTAACAATGTGCTGCCAATTAACTTTGTAATTTGCGGGCTTTTTCAGCAAGGTTGAGGAGAGCTAGTAAAATAGTTTGGGGCTGATCTCAAAGCGTTTTTCCCAGGATTCAATAAAGGGTGAATGTAGTAACATCCTCTGCTTTGATAATATAATTTGGGCCAGATGGTTCTGGAGGATAGTAGGGGGGTACAACTTAGATGTGCATTTGGATTGCACTTGTGGCATTAGTAGCTGAAAATCTGAGCAAGGAGCAAAACTGGTCACCCACAATGAACAGTGACTTCTCTCTGGGACCGGTAAAGCTTTTCAGGAGTTTCCTCAGTCCATTTACTGAAGTCTTAAGAAGAGGGAGAGCTATTTCCGACTACATGTGGACTTCTCTTTTCTTGAGATAAGCTGATGATAAAGAAAAACTTTAGTTTAGGATCCTATTAGCATGAAACAAGCTAGTAGAGATCCTCGCTTTGATTAAAGAATCCTCTTAATGTCACGGCACAGGCTTGGCTGTCTCACTAGTCAAAGATATATGTATGTTATTTATGTTTAGATGGAAGTTTTGTGTATACAGGCCTTTTGGGCTTGAAAGCAGACATCACTGGTATTGCAGCTGGTAATCCAAGCATGCAATAACCTACCTTACACTCCAGACAGCTTACTGGGGGACAAGCAGGAACATCAGTTCGGAGGCGTCATTGCCTGTTGCATGTACAACACTAGGGATGGTTATTGCCATGTGCTTTTTGCTGTCTAGTGAATAGTCCTATCCACTCAGTAGCAATCAGAGCCATTGGAGCAGTGGCTTTCTGGCTCCTCTGGCAGCCCTGAGCGTGGCGTGAGGTGGCCAGGAGAACATTTCAGATTACACAGGTTATTAGGACTCTGAGGACTTCGTTACAGACTGTGGTGGTTTTTTCTCTCTCTCTGCTGGTGCTGTGCATCCATGGAACTGCTTATGATTTAACTTCTTAAGAGATTAAGCTCTGCTGCCCAAAACTGTAAGCCTTTCGTTTGTTCACGTACTGGAAATGGCTGAATCTGTAGACCTCTTACTAAAAAGATAAGACATCCTCCTCTGAACTTCACCCAGCCTCAGCACCAACTTGATGAAGGAGGAGCCATGTGCAGGAGGTGTTATCAGGCTGCATTGGGCACCAGGCCATGGATTAGCACCTCTGCAGAGTGCTGACAGCCCTCATGCACTTGGGGATTAACCTCTGATGCTGGAGTGTTAGCACATCCTGCCCCAGAGTTTCTCTTTGCTGTTGTGTGGTTTTGCCTGTGGGCAGGCAGTTTTTCTGGAGATGCCAGTGGTGACCCTTTGCTCCTTAGGCAGTTTTTCAGCTCCTCTGGCTGGTCATAATGACCCTTTCTCTCATTAGTACTGGATTGCCCTCGTGTCAGCAAGCTTTGTCTCCTGGGCTGTTCTTGCTGGACTGTCACTGTGTGAAGGCCATGTCTTGGGACCTGTTGGGTCTTTATGGAGCAGAAGAGAGCTGGGGGATGGCAGGAGCAGAGCAATCTACCACTCCATCCTTTCCAGTTGTGTCCTTCTTTTTTTGCACTCTGATAGCATCTTCTAAGGCAGGTAGAGGGACAGGTAAGTGACCACTACAGCTGCAGTCAGTTAAATATAGAGATGATGTCACTGTTAAGCTTTGTGTTTGCAAGACAGCACATCTGCCTCATGGGCTGGACTGTGAAATCCATTACCACTACAGTGTGATTAGTTCATGAGCTGCTGGGGAATGGACACTCAGACAAGCCATTACAGGGTAGCAGGTAAATGCATAACAGCCGCTTCTTGGTAAATGCCCAGCCATGTGCTTCTGCACATGACAGATGCAAAGTAACTGAAGGGAGTTTACTTTTCAATGAAAGAGTAGGCTGTGAACTCCCATTTAGCATAGAGTGAAGCATGTATGTGGTTGCCACAGAGCAGCTGGCGTGTAGTGAAGTCATGCCCTTGCTTGCCTTCTGTTAAATTGTTGGGTCCTTAAGAAATACTCCTTGCATTGCAGTGGAATCTGCTGTATGGCAAATGGTGAATCAGAGCTTGTGCATCAGGTTAGATGTGGTCAAAGATATTTGATTTGGGCTAAGTCATATAGGAGCTCAGCAGTTAAATGGCAGAACAGAAACCTGCTGGGCAGCTAGCTTGGCATGTCTCCAGCAACAGACCGCTGGCCCTTCCCATTTGATCTGCTGCAGACCACTAGTTCTGGAGGCTTTCTCTACTCACAGCAAGGAATAACTAGGGGAGGTAAAGGAAGAGTGTTGGAGATGCTCTGCTTTGTCTTTTGAAGCCCAATATGAAGCCCAATATTGCAGCTGATTCTGTGCATGGATGGAGGTAACTGTGGGAGCAGCACTGTAGATTGTAAGCTCCTGCGACAGGGACCACTGCAGAATGCCAGGCACTTGTCTTCTCACAATAAGTGATGCTAAATTGCTTTTCGTGGCATATTTCCAAACTTGCCAGCTAAGGGAAGCAAAGAGTAGCTTTGGGGTTGTTCCTATGCAAACATAAATGAGCAAAGAGAAAATACAGTTACTGTTGTATATAGTATGTGATGGATATTATAGTTTCATTCTGTATTTCTTTTTTTTAAAAAAAAACTTTATTGTTACTGGGTGATCAGGTCTGTAACTGATAAAACTAAGGCAGCAATTTTTCCCAGATAA